ACAATATTGGTAGATGTGTTTCATTTTTTATTTATGTTTTTAAAAAATGTGTAAAACATGCAAGCATCCTGTACCTACCTATGGTACCTCAATTATAATATTACAACAATAATATTAATAAACATTACATAACGACTGTTATATTGTTGACAGTATACCTCCTTTCATAATTGATGCTTCCATCTCATTCATGCAGAAAGAGAGAGAGAATGAGCTTGAACTGCACATCAAATGACTGTAATATTGAGTTTTTTACTACTTATGGGGTAATATTTTTTTTTTACTTATTGTATTCTACTATTGATTTAATGCGTCTATCAGGTGGACAGCAAAGAAAGAATTTCACTACACAAGCGCAAAACCTCCTTTCTTTTGGTGCATATGACATAAACATCTTGAACTGAACTTAACTTGAAAAAAAATCAACAAAGTAAATAACAAACAAAAATTTAGCTGATGCCACAGGAATATATTAAAAAAAACAAAAAAACAACAACACACACACAAAATAAAGGCAACTAAACAAACTACACCCAGTCAGCAGCGCAAAAACCACTCAACGCGTACATATTCCGACGGTACCTTAACGCAGGCAAAACGCTCTCTCTCTCTCTCGTCTACGTAAATTGCGTAGCGTTGCGGTGCTGCGACGCTTCTACTACGCAGTGCGGCTACGCGGAGGAGACGTCGGCGGGGGAGGACCCAGATACATTATTGACGTCCCCCCTCCTCCCTAACCAAACCCCCCCCCTCCCTCCCCCCTTAAGTCTGTACGCAAGAGATATTTCTCAGTGGAGCAGCGACGAACTATAGAGCAAATAATGGGAAGGAGTATACGCGGTGTTTCCTACGCTGAAAGCCTGGCTGCCTCCGCCGAACACCGACTTTTGCTCTTCAGCGGTATTTTCCGGAGGGACTAGTTTTCGGGAAAAAGCGAGCGAGCTACCAGGCTAGCTTCGCAGCTACAACTGCTGCCTTATTGTGGCCCGCAACCAACCCTCCCAGCTGGCATCCGTCGCATGCACAAGAGGAAAAAATGGTGAGAAAGTGCTGATGTGTTGTCTCAGTACGTGCAGCCAGCCATCGGCGTGTTGCAGTTTGATGTGGATATTTATCAGTTGTTCACGTTGTGTGTTGTTGTTGTTGTTGTTGTCACAGGGCCAGGTAGCTTTAGCTCACGGTGCTACAAGGTTGACAGCTCTTGTCACCTGTCTGCCTGCGGTCTCCTGGATGGAGAGACCCCCCCAAAATAAAGACCCCCTTTGCAGTTTGAAGTTACCTTGTATAATACCAAAACGTCCTCTGTTTGCAGAGCGTGAATTACAGCCTCTCTGAAACAGCTGCGGTTTGATAACATGGACGGTATGTACAGGTTTGCTTGTCACATACTTCCATGGAAACCACTGTTGGGTTGTTGACTTGAGGAGGAGAGCTGAAAAGGTCATGCAAGGTAGCTGCAGTCATCTCTAACTGGATGAGCATTGATGATGATGATGATGATGATGATGTGAGACATGATTGACAGTGATCTTACTTTCTCAGCTGTAGTTAAAACTTTAAAACATATGTTTAAACCATCAAAAGGCAGAGGGATGTGGAGAAAGCACAAAAAGTACTCTGCTTTTTGGAATAATTAGAAGTTGCTGGTACATTTACTAGAGTTTGACAAACCTGTCTTTCCTATATAGCACTCCTTTTATAACTGCTCTATATTTGGTGTATAGTCTTTTATACATTATTGGATTAAACATGCCTAATAAACTATCCAGAAACAGTTTTGTTTCATAAAGATATTTTCCAAATAGCAGTGCTGAAGACTTTCTGAAGATTTGCTTTTAAAGCAGCCGGTTTTATTGGATAAATGAAACTGTTTTGCTGACAACGTCACACTTCTACTTAAAGTAAATTGCTAAACAGGTTGGTTTTTAAGTGTTATCATTAGAAGACGTTGCAGTATGAAACACACGTTTTATAAATCTGAATGGACCTGAAGGTGCTGCGCAGGACAGATACCAGAGATAATATTCTTTAGCAGGTTACCTCCTCATTAAAAATGTGTTTTGCCTGACACACGTTTTGACAAATATATAAATAAATATATATTTTTATGAATGAAGTCCTCAGGTGTAAAGTCTGTGCGGTCTCTATGTTAAAGCTTTAAGAGGTGTGGTTTATTTGTAGTTGATTAACCAGGATTAAAGATAACATATTCCTGTTGTTGACATTACATTTAATCCTTGCTCAGTTCATCCTTAAACAGTCATCAGATACTGACTTAGATTGAAACTAAACTACCTTTAATTTATGTGATAATTTAAATTATTATTAAAAGATTGAATTATCCCAAATTGTTCCTACTATGTTCAAACCCAGAGAAAATCAAGGTAACGGTACAATTCCTACTTTCCTTTAGTTGCTATGACTTCCGAGTACCATGGCATAGAGTGAGAGGAATTCGGCAAACGTGATTAAACTATTATCAACTGTTCAGGTTTTATACATCTGTGGCTTCACTATCATAGTGAACACACCAATAGCGATAATGAACCATTTAAAGTGTCTGTGTCAAGGCTCATTATTTACCTGTGCTGTTGTTAAAAACCCCTTTAATACACGATACCATTGCCTAAACGTTGGCACTTTGTGTGTTTGTCCACATGCAGGTGTACCTGTTAAATCCTATAGAGAACCTGAGAAGCTACATCAACAACCGTCCACCGCTGGTCATTTTTATGATCAGCGTCAGTGCAGTGGCCATCGCCTTCCTGACCATCGGTTATTTCTTCAAGATCAAGGAGATCAAGTCTCCAGAGTTGACAGAGGTGAGTCATGCCCGCATTGTTCTTTAAAAGAGATGGAATTATGTGGTCTGCTCCATTAAGTAGCTCTCAAATAGCAGTCAAATGTGCTCACCGCGGATGCTAAATGTCAGTTCATGAGCTTTGTGGCCTCCTTTATGCCAAAATGATGCATTCGCCCAACATTTTGACCCATGTTGCATTTATGCTGTGACCTATTCAGCCTTTTCTAGTCTCACCCAGCTCAGTCTGTAAGGCTAAAAGAAGCTCATTTTAGCATAGCAAATAGGGAATCCAGGTAGGTAGGTACTTTATAGACCCGTGGATACATGGAAATAGATATTTGGTAAAACAACAGTTTGTCCAACCATTAAGACGCCCTCCCTCTCTCTCTCTCTCTCTCTCTCAGGACTGGAACACCTTTCTGCTGCGCTTCAATGAGCTGGACTTTTGTGTGTCGGAGAATGAAACGATAAAGCACGGTCTGAATGAGTCGACCACGCCAGAGAGCATGGTCGTGACCAGCGGCCAAGCTCGTTCCAGTACCCAGGTTCCCCTCCTGCTAGAGGACTCTGGTCCCATCAACATCTCAGTCCCCATCACCCTCACGCTGGACCCCCAGCGCCCGTTTGGAGGCTACTCTCGCAATATCACCCACCTGTATGCCACAGTGCTGGGGCAGCAAGTTGGCCTGTCGGGTAGGTGGTCTCTCCCATCACCGCTTCTTTGTGTTTGCCCCATAGTCAGAAAAAAAATCCCTTTATGTTTAATGGGAAGTGAGGTAGGGCAGAGGCAGAGAAACAGCTGCATCCAGTAGAAACTATAAATCTTAATGAATGTGAGATTTGTCCAAATCAATTACGGGGAATATCAAGTAACCAACCTCTGTGCTCCTGTGCACTGTGTGTGTGTGTGTGATCCACCACTCTCCAGCACAATTCCCCAATCACATCTGTTTCCCGCCATTCCCCTCCCTGAAAAAAAAAAAATTTCCCAGCTGAAAGGAAAATGTTACACTCCATCGTGTAACAGCCAGAAATCACAAACACAACAGATGTAGTTTGTAAAACCTGCCATTGAACTGTAAAATGTATCACTGCATTTAAGCCATTATTAACTTTTTAAAGATCATGCTTTTTCCCCCCATAGGTTGAGTATATACAGTACTACATGTACGTGACCCAGACCGAGTGCAGAGGGCTAAAAGAGAGAGGATCAGAATTTAATTTGGCTCAGTATATCTGATGGTGATCAATTAGTGCGAGTGTTGCACAACGCTCATACGGATCTTTCGGATTAACTTCGGACGTCACTAAATCTCACAAAGTTGGAATTCTCCAGCTGGAGTGAACTCTGTTTGGCTCGTACACATTATTGTAATAAAAACATTGTTCCGTAATAAGTAGAGATATCTGTCATGGGAGAGTTGTGTGAAGCCTATAGTGTCTGTGTGTAACTGCCATGGACTGTTTTTGTGTGGTTGCTGTTCAGAGGTAATTTGCTCCTTTTGAAGGTGGGAGTTTGTCCTTTTAATGGGTTTTACCTTACCTCTTTGTGTGGTGACTTTACTTAGACATGGTGAGGAAACAGTGGCAGCGTTGTGTAACATTAAGCTGTTCCCATTCACTCCTCCTATAGGTTTCAGACTTAAAGGTTTCAGAAGGCAGAGCAAAGTGAAAAGTGAATACCACTGGCTTTGTACTGATAACGTTATTATCTGCATGCTCAGGAATGTTTTTGTGAGCGTTCCCTTTTGTCTACTGTGGCAACACATACACTAAGAGCATGTGTGTTTTTCATGTCGCCGCACCTTTCATGTACTGCTCCACAGAGAAAGAATTTAGAAGGATAGAAGAAAAAGACAGGAACAAGAAACAGGACTGCACTTGGCAGATTTCCGGCTGGGCTTAAAACAGCCAAATGGCAAAGTTCTGCATCTACTTTAAGAAGATAATATTCAGTTTCTTACTTAAATGTCATCTTTGTAGAAAATGGAAAACCTAGTCTAATATTTAGTATTTAAACCAAATAGACTGAACTTTGGTGTACTGTATGTGCATTGATTCTGCTTCAGTGGGACATGCAAAATGAATATCATGCTCTCAATCTCTCCATTCAGATGGGATTAGATTCTCCAGATAAGGTCAGGTAATTTTATTTTTACAGCACAGTGATATTAATCCCATCCAGATTGCCTCTATCTGTGGTTTTAGCCTTCTGCCTTTGAGGACATGCCAGCCACAAATACCCGCCGCTCTGTTCTGACTCTGCTGTGCTCTGATAATCGGCCCTCTTTGCAGATAGCTATCTAGCCATTGTCACCATCTAAGCAAAGTGCTGGTAAAATATGCAAATGGATGGTAGATTATTCACTTGTCACCAGTTTAAAAAAAAAAAAAGACAATTTAAAATCTATTAGGTGGCTGGTAACATTTTAACATTCACTTGTCATTTGACCAGTGGGCAGAAAAGTTGATTCTGCACCCTGGTTGTTACTGAATGTACAGTACATCCCTCGTTTCAGGCCCTCGTTTGTCTTTTTTTATGGTGCTTAAAGTTTAAAGCCACCAAATGGATGAGCAAAGTCAACAAGGAAAGGAGCTATGCAAATGTTTTTTTACACTGAGCAAATAGTCCCGTCTGAATAGGGCTTACACTGTACAAGAGCCGGATAGAATATACGGAGGGTCAGCTTAACCCTTACCCTTACTAAATCACTTAATTCTAACAGATTTCTTTAAATGATAGTACATATTAATAAAATCATTTAAAAGTTGCATTTACAAATCTTTATATTAGATATGATTTTGACATCTGGATTGGTTTCCTGTATAAATGCTCACCTTGAATCCTTTATGATCTGCCAATACCTCCTCATTTTTTTTAAATAGCTCTGCTGAAGACAGGAGTGTTATGCTTCATGTGGTATAGAAGGGTCAATTTATTGAAAGCAAAAAGGGTTTTTTGCTTTGTTGAGTGCATGCCTACTTTGGGAGACTGAAGTGGTTGACTTCAGTCAGAGACATGTCAAGGATGATCATTTATAGCAAATGGTTGTACAGTTACATTTAGTGGAGAATGCTGCCTTTGGAGAGAAAAGCGCATGAAAAGAAATGGATGTTACCTTGACAATCACATGTACTTTTCCACCTAATTAGCCTTCAGATGTATTTGAGACAAATCTTTAAGCGAAAATCACATATATCAAGCGCATGATGACTGGAAAGGTTCAGCAAATGTTATCTCCTTGGGCACATCCTGAAGTGACGCTTAAGGCTGGAGCCCTGATGCTAAAGTCTACCTGCAGCGTCAGAGCGACTGACCGGCCTGGCTTGTGAAAACTGGAATTTCTTTTGGTTGAAGACTCAGTGTCCATGGTTGTCCGCCCCTGCATATGCACTTATGTTGGCGCGAACACATTCATCCTGAGTCACACCCAGGAGTCCACTCAGTCTGTCTTCTAATCCCCTTTGCAGTTTGATAAATATTGCATAAGCTAGCAGAATCAGTCTGTCATTTGCTATCAAGGAAGTAATTTGGTACGACATCAAATATTGCTGCGGTGGCTCAACCTGTTTGCTTGCTGTGTGAGCTGCATGTTGTTTAAACTGTTCTAGGCTCTAATAATTGCCTCTGAGCACCTCTCCTTTGTAGGTTGTTTTATAAGTAAGTAATGTGGAAATGCATGTTACAGGCATATGATCTGTACTCTTTGTTGGGTTTATAGGATTCGACTTAAACCAACTCTGTGTGTTTGAAAAGTGAAAGAAATTTGGCAAAACTGTCAGTAAGATTCTTCTCTTAGGTCAATTTTCTAACAATCTGTTATGCTCTCTTTTGTTTTTGTGTGTAGGCCGGGAAGCCCATGAAGAAATAAACATCACTTTCACCCTGCCTTTATCCTGGAACTCAGACGACTGTGTGCTGCACGGCCACTGCGAACAGGTGGTGTTCAGCACTTGCATGACCATCACTGCGGCCAGCAATATCTTCCCAGTCACAGTGTGAGTTGGACTGCCTCCCTGACTCAGAGGGACGCACTATATCTCTGCCTCGAGCCGAGTGATACCCACAAAATGAAATACAGTCTCTCAAAGTTTGTGGCTCAGTACCTTCATTTCTAAAAATATTTTGGTTTAACTGTAAGTGCTTCCTTAGTATGTATTGCTCTTTTACGCTCAGAGCAAAACAAAATGTTTTATACTTTGAGCCAAAATCCATAACAGACCTTTGTCAGGATATTGTATATTCTCGTCATCTGCATGGTGGAGTGTTGTTAGTTAATACTGAGACACTGTAGTTGAACTTGCTTTGTGCATGTTTGCACATAAATTAAGTAATTGTTCAGCTTTCCATAACATGAATTTTATAATGAGCGTTACTTTCCTTGGGGTCAGATAGCGGTTAAACAGTGTGAGTTTTTTTTTGCTTACATGTAACAAGCATGTAAGAGTTAGGCAACCATCGGCTGGAATGACAAATATTTCCAGAAGATTTTATCGGCTGCAAACAATAAATGTCCTCTACATGAGTACAAAATGAAACCTGGCTGTTGTCTGGTAATGTTAAACCTGCTCTGCTAGCTGGTGTCCATAACACACTACAGTGAAAAACACTGCTTTGCTCTTGTAGCTTTGTTAACAGCTTGCTAAGTAGCCACATTTGGGACCCTGTCGTATTCTGCATGGTATTACAAGCAGGGCTACTCTCTAGGTCTAACTTTAACCATCACTTTAGTAGCTATGAATCTAAAGTGATTTCGAGTACTGCCTATGGATGGCAGCGCCGCGGTTCACAAATAATTGTCCCTCGCAAAAGCATCCATGCTCGTGCGTGGTGCGCAAAGTTTGCTGCTTGTTCTGATTTAATAAAATGTGTCAAAATGAGAGGAGGAGAGGAACTGATGTTACAAATTTGCTGAAGGAGCCTCTGGAGGGAAGAGCAGTAACGTGTCCTGTCAGTCTGTGAAACTATGACATTGGCACTGCAGCGAGAGCCCTCAGCAGTGTCATTTAGAGTCTGTCAGATATATTTAGTTTCATCAGATGTCAGACGTTACACACGTTTTTGGTAGTTTGTCTTTGCCTCCAGAGTGGACAACCACTGTGAATGTCACATACTGTATCTCACACTGTATAAAATGGGATGCATCATGGAGTATTTGTTACCTTGGATACTGTTTTGGAGCCCTCTGGGAGCCCAAGGTAAACTGCATGATGTGAAAGCAGAAACTATCAGTATAACCAGTGAATTCTTTAACAACATCTTTAACTTTTCTGCACTGCAACATAATGTGAACAGTTCCATGACAGCAGTCAACAGACGGCGATCTTTGTTTTGGTTTGTAGGCAGCCGCCACACTGCGTGCCAGAGACGTACACCAATGCCACATCTTGGTACAAGGTGTTCACCACAGTCCGTGACTCAGATACCAAGTACAGTCAGGACTACAACCCCTTCTGGTGTTACAAAGGAGCCATCGGCAAGGTGTACCACGCACTCAACCCAAAGCTCACCGTCATCGTTCCTGATGTGAGTCACTGCCCCGTTTTTTTTTTTTTTTAATCAAATATTATTCCAACTCATTTTTTATTGAACAGTTTCTGGTTCATGTTTCTAATGTTGTCATTCACTATGTCTGTGACTTAACTAGAAGTCAACAAAACTAAGTATTAGATGTTGTAAATACTATATGTCTGCAGTAAACCAGGACATAAGATTATGGTGAGGTTTGAATACAGTTTCCGTGCGCTGTATTACAAGAAATTTGGAAGTAGAAACGTCCAGTTTTGACACATAAGCCAAGAGTCTCTCAGGTGGAAGGAAGGGTCCTCACTTGTATTCTTCTTCCTATATCATTCTTACTTTCTCACTTCCTATTTAATTTTCTTTTTAGTAAATTTAAAAGCCACTATACAGACATTTTTTTGAGTACAGTCTAAACCTGCTCTATTTGAAAAGTGTCCTGAGATAACCTTGGTTATGAATCGGCTCCATACAAATAAAATTGAATTGAATAACTTGACATACATTTTCTTTTTTATAATGTGATATTTATAAAGTGGTTATTGTTCAACACTACACAACACTACACACATATATTGGAACTGTTCAGGTGGTCTATGATCACTGACTCCCTCCCTTTTAAGACCAGGTAAATGGGACCAAACCCGAAGCCCATTCTGAAAGCCATTTAGCATTAGTTCTGTACTGATGGTGGTAGATTGTTCCAGGATTACAATGATCCCATTGACGGGCCACGACTGGGCACTGAATGGTCCAGTGAGCCTGAAAACAATTTGAAAATATATGCTGGCCTGTGCAGTTACCTGATCTCAGCCCACTTCAACACACAGAGGATTCGGGAGTGGTGCTTGAGACGGCCTTTTCCGCCATTATTAACAAAATAACAGAAGAATGGATTGACACTTTAAGTCCCCATTTCCTTCCTATATTTAGGGAGCCTGAAAATGCTTTAATACTAGCTGTTTTATTCCTTTACTCCTCAGACTTACTGCAAAAGTAAAATGAGCCTTTAATGTATAATCTATTTTTACCTATATGTATGTACATATTCTTTTATTTTTACCTTTGTTCAACTTTGCTGTCGTCATTTTATGCTGGATGTCTTTCTGTCTTCTTGTAAATTGTTCTTAGAACCTTGTATAAGTATCTTAAGAGCAACCGTCAAATTCCTTTAATATGAACATACATTTGGCCAACATGGCAGATTCTAATTCTGTCTTTGTTGCTTTTTTTTCCCCCACCAGGACGACCGCTCCCTCATCAACCTGCACCTGATGCACACAAGCTACTTCCTGTTTGTCATGGTCATCACTATGTTCTGTTATGCAGTCATCAAGGGGCGACCTGGCAAAGTACGGCAAACCAACCCTGACTTCTGCCCTGAGAAGGTACAACAGACACCAGCAGTGCTATATGACGTGAACAGGTAGTTCAAGCCAAGCATCGATTGACCAGTGATTGGTTAAAGACATCCAATCACACTGCTGATTCTCTGACTCTCTATTGTCACATGGACATCTACTGTATATGTAATGGTTGTCTCATTTGAAAACTGTCTATGTTAATATAAACATACTTGCTAATTATGCTTTAACTGGTCATGTTTAAAGTGATTATAGCAGGACATGTTTTGTTTGGTAACTCTACAAAGCCATAAAACGTTCTGTGCTGCTGGTGGTCCTCAGCTCTGCCTGATGTGTGTGCGTAGTTGCAGCTCGCTCCCAGAGGTAATGGAAGATTGGCCTCTGTGGTCTTATTGCTTATTGTAGAACAATACACATAACAGCATTACCCACATGTATCACCTTTCATCACAGCCGCTATACGAGGCGCTATATCACACCAGTCCGAGGATTATCAGTTGTAAGACAGGTCAGCAAGCTCTGACTCATTGTCTCAGTCAGGCCAAACAGATTGGCTCTGCTGTGAGAACTGAGCAAATTATCCTTTTTTTTTTATATAAGGGCGGGTCGGGACATGGGGTTGAGCCAAAGTTCTGCAGTTCTTAATCTAATGCCAGGTTCAGTCTACAGGAGGAGTCGATTTAACTCATTCACCCTTCCTGATAGTAATCTGAGGGGTTTACAGATCCAGTCTTCAACCTCCAGACCTCCAGCCCCAATCATTTTCAAACATGTTTGATGTTCAGGAGTTAAAATCTGGATCATTACTTCAGTACGGAAGTGAATGAGAGGCATTGCCAAGCAGCTGATCCACTACATGACCAAATATGGCAGAATGTGTCCATATCTTGTTGTTTGGATCTGTTTTTAATCACAGAATAGCTCCACAAATGAAGCTCCACTCACTCTGAGCCGCATCTCGTTTTGTAGCTGCTTCACAATAAAAGTCCAGCACTGGTTTGCTGATGGTAAACTTTTAATGTGAAGCATCAGCAGGAACTTAACGCAGCTCTGCTGGTTGTGCCATGCAGTGTTCAGAGGTTAAAGTGGACTAACGAAGTGGGCCTGAGGAAATGGAGATTTGGATTATAAATTAGCAGAATTCTGAATCCACCTACAGAGGTGGGGTACTTTAAAGGACAGTTATAGTGGGAATTGAGATATGTTCACTTTGCTCCTCTCCAATTGATTAAAAATAATTGTATCATTTTCCTCATAGCAGTGGCTTCTTCACTGCTTACTGAGGAGATGTGATGTCCTTAAGTGCATAATTAAGCATTAAAGCCACTACGTTCAGGATTTGAAAATGTCTTATTTTGGCACCATCCAATGGTAGTATCAAGAATGACACTTTGGCAAACAGCAGTGCATGCTGCATACACAGCAGTGTAATCTGCTGATCAAGTTGTGTCTTTTCTTTTCTGTGAACTTGTATTCCTCTAATTCCTGTCCATATTACCAGCTTGTGTTGCGATATGTGTTGTTTCTCTTTCTCTGACATGTCTGTAAGTTGCACTAAAACCCATTTCTTCTGTTGCAGGTGGCGTTGTCAGAGGGTTAAAAAGACATCAGAGAGCTATGTCGGAACTTACCTGTAACATGGACAAACTCGAAGAAACAGAAGAAATAAAAATAAACATACCAGTTGCCTAGTGAACCTTGGAAATACAATAAGGGACACAAAAGCTCTGTGAATGCATTACTCTTGCAATGTTGGGTTTCTCCAACCAAAGATATACAAGTGCCTGTATCTGTCGTGTAAATATTTGTAGGAACTCTGATATTTCTGTGCAAAACCTTTTTCTTCTTCTTTTTGTTTATTATTATTTTATTATTTTGCCTGAGTCCCCTTGTGCCATGTCAGAACATGCAGTATATATTAAAAAAAAAGCAGAAGGCCAGATCCAAGAACTACACAACCACCATTTTTCTATTCGCTCTCATTTACCAAGACAGATAGAGAAACCACAGAAACCGTTTCTGGCACACAGATTTCAGTTTTAAGTATTTGCTGTAAATGTTTGGATATCTGATAATCCGCCTGTAAACAAAGTATTTTTATCTCCCGTGATGAGAAAGCATGAGGATTAGTCACTTGAAATATGTTTAAGTGAACTAAATATGCTCGAGTACCCCAGCGGAGATATTTACTTTAGGATGAGATGCTTGTAACACATTTATAATTAAATCTTCAGTATGCATTTGCCATTGCAGCTTCAGCAGGGAAGACAATAGATTCCTCTCTGCACCGGACTCCACAGTGTAATCAGATCAGAATTTGGACATTACATAAAGTCTGTTCAAAAGTAGCAATTAGATTTGTTTTAATTGAACTCTCTTTGACCTTTACCAAATTACCAATTATGTTTCCCTGTGTGTCTGCAATGTCAATGGAGGTGGAGTAAAGTATTTAGCTGATTGCACTGTGCACATTAATATATGAACAGAATACAGCGTCAACAGTTAAGTTAATGAGTCCCATTGTCTCAGTTTGTTTCCTATTAGGCTTATCAGTGAGTCCATTTAATGGCAGTTAAATAAGCTGCTGCACTCCTGTGGTTTGTGTTGAAAATAATCTTTTACTGTGAGACAAGTAGATGTTGTCACACTCAAAATATGAGTTCTTTTTCCTTCCTGTGTGGCTTTATCACTCACCTGCCTCTCGTCTGTAACTCGCTGCCCGTCGCTGCAGCAGTTTTGTAGTTTTGGCTTCTAGACTTAAGCGATGTTCAATACAGTCTTCTTTGTTGCACCTGGATGAAGCAAAACATTATCTTGCCTTACCTACGGTGGACTTGCTTGCTTGAAAACAGATGGGGAGATCAGTTTCTCTCCTTCCAACGTTAACTTGCCAGTCCCTTCTTCCACAGCCATCTCTTCTCTTTTTGTTTCTTCCAGTTTGAGGAGCCTGTGGTTTGAAATCAAACTTGTGATCTTTGTCCTTGTTAATGTAAATGTCAAATGGCCCTTGAGTTATTATATTATAGGATGCGTTTGAGTTACTTATGCTTTTATTTTAAGCAAATCATTATCAGTTGCACGTTTTCAAGGGTTTGCATAGTTGCTGCACCTTTTAGATTTCTTGCACATTTTGTGTTATTTGCTCCTGTGATGATTTTTCCTTTTTTTTTGTCCGAGGTCACATGTAAACAGTCTGATATTGAACTATATGTTTAGAGTTGGACTCCTTCTGAAAATAAATATAATTATATATTAGTATATAATTATATTTATATAACTGATAATATATTTATGATTAAATCATTTAATTTTTTATTATTTTGTAGTACAACAAAATGTGCAAAAACTCACTTGGTGTGTGATTGTGTGTAAGTGAGTTTGGGAAATGTTTAAATAAATAAAAGGCGGCTTTAGACTGTGATTCTCTGAAGTCTCCTTTCAAGTGTCTGGTATTGAAAGAATGCTTGTTTCTTCAATGCACTAGTCGAGATTGACTTGACAGGACACACAAATAAAACAAACTCACCCGACTTCCTCCTGCAAAACCTTTTCACATGGATTGCTGTGACTCGTTTCGTTGAGCTGAAACTTTTAACTGTAGCTTTAATGATGAATTTAATGCTCTTCCAATGCTTATATAATTCATATTTTGATACCGCGGCAGACTTTGACAATCATTTCTTCTAAATGTACTGCAATTTGCAATAAGAAACAGAATAGTGCTCTGATTAGATTAGATTAAGATTTTTGTCAATGTTAAAATCTCGAGTCACCGACCACTGTCCACTGTGCTGTCTAGACACAAACGTAAAATCGATTAAAAGGAAAACTACAGAATAAATAACAGTCTAAGTCCGCCTTTAATGTCTGTTATGTATGACTTTTTTTCCAATAGCAATTACTGATACATTGTACTTACCTCTATGTTATAATTTTGTTCCATAATTGATGTACCTGTTGAATGTACTTTTTTTTTTATAAGCAGCATAATCTAAATCTGAGATGCAAGAATTCCAAGTGATTTAAACTCTGATGTAGTTTTTTCAGTTTAAAAGGCTTTACTTGAATTGTGTTTTTGTTCAGTGGTATTCATATATTATAAGGTTTATCCTTTTTGTGGCAAATAATGAATCTGTTGTCACATTATTGTATCACTTTGTACATTTGTTTGATTTCTGCGTGTGTGTTGGTGAAAGAGCGAAAGGTGGTTTGTCGCCCCCCCAATATTGACTGATGCTAGGATAAGTCTTCCAAATTGTGATGTGCATCATATTTGAACATGGATCCGTTGCTTTTGCTGTCATCGTCTGTCTCCTGTGCTTTCACGGTGGGATTGTGCTTTTCTTTGGAAGATCTGGCAGCTCTTATTGAACGGGTGGAAATTTTGGGTGTTGGATGGGAAGCGGGTTGGAGTGCGAGTGAAGGGAACTTGAAGGTGTGAATGATGTATGTCATATTATTGCCAAACCACCATGATTTATGTCTATGATCTGCATTTACCAGCTTCTCCCTCATGTGATTACCTATGTTTATCTTTGGTTAGAATTGCATCTCTATAATTGCAAAATGCCTTAACATTGTCCAGTTCCATTTGTTTTCTTTGTTTCACATATCGCATATTGTAAAACACGCCGGCTTTACAGAAACAAATCCAAACACAATACTAATTTTATCGCTTCGGAGCTATAAGATGTTCTAATTACCATGCTTGTTAAGTGCACAATTAGAGAAAAGGATTTTAAAAAGGAGCAGATGCTTGCTGTTGTAGTTTTCAAACTACTCCACTATATCAGTAAGGACTGGAGTAAAATACCGAGGAAGCATATTCTCCTTAGTTGCATCATCTCACAGTGTTCTCTGCTTTACATTAAGCAAAAAGTCTTCAATACAAGTCTGCCACTTCACCTTGTTATCCTTTCTGTCATGTTAGTAGCGCTTACAGGCAAGTATTAAGCCAACTCTGTGCCTTCTGCACTGTCGAGCTGCATCCTCCTCCCTGTACATACAGTAGATAGGACCGTAGGTTTAATGTGGCTAGAACGTCATTCAAACCCTTTTCCTCTCCAGTGGAACTGCTGTAAATGAACTCAAGTTTAAATAAACTGTCTCTAAAGTTCACTTTGTCCCCGACTCTCCTTCTCTCCGCCGCCGTAGTTTTTATCTCTGTTTTTACTGGGAGATTAATGATCTGCCAGTAGAAACAGGATTAATTTGCTGGTAGTGAAAGCAAAGTGCCATGGAAATATTACATGCAGGAAGTCCAGAGCTCAAGAAGTTTAAAGACTGGTGATATGCTGTATTTTTGTTATCGTCAATAAATATGGTAAAAAGACCAAAACCAACAACATGCTCTTCCCCAGTCCATAAGTGGCTCTCAGTAACCAAGCCAATTCATTGCTACTGAAGATATAAATCTTTAAAAACAGCTCACATATATAAAGTTATAATCAAATCTGAATACTATGGATTACTTCAAAATCAAACATTGAAAATATTTTCAAAGCAAATCAGTTTTTTTATATTCAGCATTTATAGTTTGCCAAATTAAATAACCCTCAATGTTTTCTGTGATTATTCATTGTTCCGTGTTGACAACTATTGTTGTTAACATGGTTGTTAGCTGTCCACTTGCATGATGCCTTGGGTTGAGTCAACCAATCACAGGCTGTTTTCCTGACTTGTCGACGTGTAATGTCACCAGACCCATTTCTTAAAGTAGGTTTCTGACATTTGTGCAATCATGTGAATTTAAAAAAAAACTAAAACTCAAATCCTCAAGCCATGACCCTTTAAATACACAGGATCAATTTGCTGGTTGTGGCTCGAGGAAATGATTAAAGTTCCTGACACATTAAACTATTTATCAGTGAGATTCAAAGGGCAGATGGCAGCAGGGCAGAATCACCAAGCAGTCCTAACCGCTGCAGACCTTCATGAACAAAGGTCAAAAATAGCCCTTGAGATCCAAACCATCAACCAAACCCATCTGCCCCAATGGCAACCCCTGAATGGGATGAAACAGGATGAAGGTGTAGCTCCAAGAATATTTGATAGCAGAACTGGAGTTGCATTTACTTTTCCAATAAAGAAACTGTGTTCGGAATTTTTAACCATGGAAACGACATGTCTCTAGGAATGGCAATGTCAGTCTGTCGATGGGTCCACCACGTTGGTCCAGACCGAATGATCTCAACAACTGTTGCACAGACATTGATGGTCCCTAGAATCTGAATCCTAATGACTCGGGTGACATTGCCTCAACAACAAGTGGATGAATTTCCATGAAATTTGGTACAAGTCCCCTTCAGGATAAAATATAAGAACTTTGATGACCCCTTAACTTTTCATCCTGTGCAATCATCAGGTCAACATTGCAAAAATACCTGTTTTCGAAACCTTTTGTTTAGTACTAATTAGCAAATGTTTCTATGCTAACACTGTAAACTAAGATGGTGAATGTGTTCGTTTTTTTTAAATTGTACCTGTTAATTTACTAACATTTACTATGTGTTTATAGCATCTTTCAAATTGTTCATACATACTTGGCTTACATTTTTGTCTCTAGAATTGGACAAGCATGGTGATAACTGTGAATCAGTATGGGGGAGGTGTATCACAAGGCCACAAATTAAAATTCAACACATTCAAGTGAACTAATAAGTTAATTATCACCTTATCTGCAACAGTTTCCACATTGAACATTGTACATTTTTAGACATGTTTTGTACCTTTTGGACAGCCACTGGCTTCTTTTCATTTCATTAAGCCATTAGAATTCATTTAGAAAAGACATTTTAAAACTGCTACTTACCACTTATCCTTTAGGGTTTAAGAAAGGTTATGCTGCTGCGTGTGCTGTTCCTCCTTCTTTCGTACTCATATCCTGGGTTTCAGCTTGCATCCAGGGCCTGGGCAGAGAGCATGAACAGTTTTTTAATCACAGTGTACCAGAACATATTTGATTAATTCCCTCCCCTCACCAATGCAGCCAGAAATGACAACAAGGTGTTTACCCACAACACGACCAGCTGGGACTGAACAATTTCTTTTTTCAGTTGCCCGTCATGTATACGTTTGTCACGATAAGTTGATCCTACTAACATGTATTGCCTGAGTATCTAAAGCCAAACATATAATATGCCAATAGATCCTCCTAAATGTTAAATACTGCTGTAAATACTCTCTAGAGCACCAAATGTGTATTAATCCGCTGCTGAAAATAGTCCCCAGTATAGTCACTGTAAACTTTGTATTTGTGAGCCATTTTTTTTGGAGCAGGAACAAATTGGTTTGTCATAAGTTTTAAGAGACAGACTGATGCATTATTAGTTTTGGTCTTTTTGGATTTGTTGACAGTAACACCAGACAGACTTTTTAATCCATTGCACAATCGTTTCACTTGTTTTGATGCAGTTCTTGATAATAATGTAACAGCAATTACATGAAAACACTGAATAAAGATATATTTATGACACATACTGTATATCTGGACAAAGCACCTTATCTTCCACACAAACAAGCAGTACAGCACACACACTATAAATACTAAATTAGCATTTTGCATTCATGAAAAATGACCTCCATGAGTCCTTGGTGAGTTTCTTGGCGAGCCAAAGTAAGCAGTGGTACACAGTGTACCGTGAATGTACAAGACTTGCAGCCAGGAGTAGTTAAAGATTGTCCAAGCCAAGCTGAGTAGCAGTATGTAAAACACATATATAATGGGATGAATTGAAGTAAGCACGCCACATGACTGCAAATCAACCACTTAGCAGTGCCGACAGTACAGTATGTCGGAGCTTGTGTTACAGAGAGGGGGAGGAGGTAGAGAGGAAGTAGACAGCGAGGAAGGACATTAGGATGCCGTCATTATCTGTCATCTGTTTGCTTCTAATATTGGACCAAGATTGGTTGGTGAAACCCACTGGTTGTCAGTAGCCTTTGAATGTTATTTTTAAAATCTCCATGTGGCTCGCAAATGTGTGGTTAAAGCCAGCAGGAATGGAGTGATTAATATTCAAAATCACAGCCTGTTGTAAGTTCGCATAATTCCCACAAAGATAACAGGAAATGCCATTAAGCCAGAGACTTGTGTAGGAGGACAAATATTTTATAACTGTCAATGAACAATGAATGGAGGTGGGGGTGTTTCGAAGATAGTACAAATTACAATAAGTAAGAAAATACAGTATCAGTCCCCCAAAGATAGATTGTGGTTGTTTTGCGTTATACAGGGCAGACAAAACCTGAATTACTTCTCCCATAACCTCACAGATATGGCCAAAAGAAGGCTCCAAAACACCTCCAGGCATAGAGCCACAAGACCTCAAGCACTCAATTTTGATTCCAAACCTTCCCACACTACTGGACTCTCCATGCTTTGCCTATAAGAAAAAGGGCATTAATTGAATGTGTATGTACGCCCGTAAATAATCTGAATAAAAACCCTCTAGGTAAAGTAACCTCTTTTAATCTGCACTAATCTTTATTTTGTTTTATATAAAAAATGATCCAAATGACTACTGTTTAATGTAAGTAATAGTTTCATATTGACTCTACAGTTCCTCTCAGCTCTACTCTACTGCACTTTTTAATATCTTTTAGCTCATTATTTTGGTTTCCCACCCTGCAACTCTGCAGCTGCAGCTGTCTTCATCAAAGAAGTTAAGATGAATCCACTGTACGCTACTTTCCCGGCACCAAGCAAAAGACAGGCAACGATAGGCTAGAGGGTGAACATAATGAAGCATTTAGCAGCTAAAGAGACAGATTGATTTCTCTGAGGAGTTAATGGAGAGCAAAATGGAGAGGAGAATATTGGACATACTATTATCAAGTGGCCAAAAACTCCAAATGAATGATAATGTTGTTCTGTGTCTGATGGATGTATTAGTAGGCAGTTGTTTGCTATGTCAGTGTCTTGTCTTGTCTTGTTCTGCTGCTTTAAATACTGCAGGGACCGTTCTCAGGGTTCCACATATGGCTTAGATAATAAAATACCAAATAATTGAGGAAGTACAGCCAATCCACAAATATAACATGATCTAATTGACAATATGTGTAATTTACATATTGGCATTAAAACATTTCACAAAAACCTACATGCAACAGGTAGATGGGTGTGGGAGTGGGACCGGCAGGGACCAACCTCTAAGATGTTCTGCAGCTCCTCCCTGACAGGCTGAGTGGAGGCACAATAGACCTTTCGCACAGCAACATTTCTTCACGTCATAGCAGGGAAAGCACAAGTGTGATCAATAACATTTATCTTAACATGCTGGTTTTCTGGGTGGGTAACTGGGGCACTTGATGGACCGGAGCCCTGGGTAAGGAAACACCTGTGCTTTTCTGCCTTGACGGCTCAATGTCTGTGAAAAAGGTCCAAACACTAAGCTTTGGAAAAATTCTCAGAGTGGCAACCTGTTCTCAGTTAAGTTAGCTGTTGGTGAATAAAGGGGAAGTGATGTTTTTTACAGATCCTTTTCTTAAGTAAAAGTACCAGTTTAGCAGTGTGAAAAGACTCCATTTCAAGTAAAATAACTTTATTCAAGTACAGAAGTATTATAGAATTGTAATCCAGCCAACATTATTTTTTCTGTAACTTTAACAGAATAAAATTACCTGTTTTTGTATCCTAATTACTCTGTTCCATGTATTCTGTTACTCCTGCAAGCCCGGACATGTTATAGCAGGAGGAGCACATGCTGGTGTAAGTAATGGTTGCACAGCAGACATTTTGACTTATCAAAGCCGGAACAACACAGGTGGACTTAACAACAGCAACAACGGCTCAGTTCCATTAAGTGTGCCAGTAGCAGTGTCAGTGAACCAGCACACACAATAGCAGGACCTCCCCTAAGTGGAATGCAGCTATCGTTAATACACCTATGAGTTGTCTGCTACGGCATGTCAACCAGTCCCTAATGTTATTTATGGCTGCATCCCATTTAGGGCAGGTGGGCCTGCTGTTTACAGTAAATGAGGGATTATGATTGTTTGTTTTTAATTAACATTTTAATAGCATGTAGAGAAGGTTTTTAATAAGAATTAATCTATAAACTTTGCTTAAGGATTGGTCTCCGCTTTTTAAAATGAGCTGTCCACAGCCATTTATTGTTT